ACTGAACAGGCCAAAGTCTGCCCTCCGGAAGTCTATGGTAAAGGTTTTGCTGCCCCTCCTCTTTGCATCGCCAAGAATCGAGAACTCTAGCATATTGCGGTCGCTAAGCCCAAGATGGCCTCCGACCAGGACATCTCCCACAAGCCCTTCTCTGTTTGTAAACAGCAGGTCAAGTGAGGCACCTCCCCTGGTAGGCTCGCTTACCAGCTGCATCAGGAAGTTATCCTCCACACACTCTAGGAACTTCCTGGACTGTTGCCTGTCTGCTGTGTTGTATTTCCAGCAGATATCCAGCAAGTTGAAGTCCCCCACAAAAACAGAGAGACTTCTGCCAGCCGCTTGTAGAACGCTTCATCTATCTCTGCATCCTGGTTGGGTGGTCTATAGCAGACTCCCAACAGGACATCCACCTTGTTGGCCTTCCCCCTCATCCTTACCCATAAGCACTCAACCTTATCATCACCACTGTCGAGCTCTATACAGTCAAAACACTCCCTAACATACAGAGCCACTCTACCGCCTCTCCTTCCCTGCCTATCCCTTCTGAAGAGCTTATAGCCATCCAATGCAGCACTCCAGTTATGAGAGTCGTCCCACCACGTTTCTGTGATGGCGACTATGTCATAGCCATCCTGCTGCACAAGGGCTTCCAGCTCCTCCTGTTTGTTGCCCATGCTATGCGCATTGGTGTAGATGCACTTGAGCCAGGCTGTCGATTTCGCCCCCAGTGTTGCCATGCCACCCCTGGGCTTCTCACTATCGAGTGCTTTTATATCCCCTTCCCCCTTCAAACCTAGTTTAAAGCCCTCTCAATGAGCCCCGCCAACTCATGGATGAGAATCCTTTTCCCCTTTGGAGACAGCTGATCTCCATCAGCCGCCAGCAGGCCCGGTGCCATGTAAACTTCCCCAGGATCAAAAAAACCAAAATTCCACCAATGGTACCAGCCTCTTTTCAAGTGATCTGGACTAACAAAGTTCAAAGCTAAAAGATATTAATGTTTGCAATCTGATATGACTGTTTAGGACAATCAAATCCATAATTCAAAACATTCAAAACATGTGACAATGCCTAGCGAATCATTTTAGGTATTCCTATTTATATGTCAGTTATGTTTGTTAATTTTTTTTCACCTGAGGATGTGAAACTACTTTGTTAACTTAAACGAGGTCTTCTGACATTACAGTGAGGCACGCTTTACAAACAAGGAGTGCTCTGTGCAGAGGTGACAATGAGTCTTCAGGTCTCATGCTTTCAGGATACAAGAAAGCTGATGTTTTGTTACTTTTTTTTTGTTAGAATGCTTCTCTTCAAAGTCAGTTGATCACTTTCTGGGGCAATGTGTGAATTTGGATATTATGTGGATTTTACTGTATATGAATAATTATACCTTGGGCTCTTTGGTTGTTGAGTGGAAGTTTGTTGTGTGCTTGCAAAGAAGTCTGAGACAGATTGGTTTAATCCACTTACTGGTAAATAGCTGTTTTGGAAACTGCCTATTAGTTACTAGGAGATGATTGAGGAAAACTTCATGTATGCATTATGTAACTTTTTACACACATGCATATGTGTGTATATATATATCCACATGTATAAATGTATATGCTGTGAGCTTATAGATTGAGGGCTTTAGGGAAAAGAGTAGTAAACTGCTGCTTGCAGAAGAATATTTGATTTGTGGCGAGAAGTTTATCTGAAAATGTCTTTTACCCTCTAGGATGGCACCAGAAGTTGCTGCAGTAGAAAGGAAAGGTGGCTATAACCAACTCTGTGATCTATGGGCAGTTGGAATAACTGCTATAGAGCTTGCTGAACTTCAGCCCCCAATGTTTGACCTACATCCAATGAGGTTAGTAAGGGGTTGAAGCTTGGTGTGTAAATACAGCTTTGTAAGTAATCCATTTGGAGTAGTGGCTATGTGTGCTTGTGTTGTTAGGGGGTACTGCAAGTGTGTTGCCTTGTAAGCATTCTGAATGTACATTATAGAAATTCTTAACAACTCTTTTTGGTGCATAAATGTGTAATGTTGTCCTGGTAGCATCTCTTAAGCTCGTGGACTTCTTCCTGCAAATTAAATAATGTATTTAATAATTTATCTCATATGTATTGCAATGTAAACTACAGAAATACTGTTGGTTTTTTTCAGAGCACTTTTTCTAATGACAAAAAGCAACTTCCAGCCTCCAAAATTAAAGGACAAAATGAAATGGTAAGTACTTTTCTGTTTCAGTACATAATGATAATGTATTTCACTGGGCAATTGATTCTAATGTTTACCACTTCATTTTACAGGTCCAATAGTTTCCATCATTTTGTGAAAATGGCACTTACAAAAAATCCTAAAAAAAGACCTACAGCTGAAAAGTTACTACAGGTATAAATTTATGTATGGGAAGTTTTTTAAGTTATATAATTAAAATATGGTTATTAAAATTAATATGAATGGTTGGAATTTTAATATGTGTTTTTCCTTCTGTCTTGCAGCATCCTTTTGTTACCCAACCATTAAATCGAAGTCTTGCTATTGAACTTTTGGATAAAATGAATAATCCTGATCATTCCACTTACCATGATTTTGATGATGATGATCCTGAGGTAGGTGTATGTTTTAATCATAGGATCAGATTAAGTTTTCCTTTGCTGACAAAACTAAATGATTATGATTTACTGAGCCACAGAATGTTTTGTGATGTGGGAGTAGTCTCAAGGGTTGCTTTTATTTAGTTATGCTGCTCTCACATGTACAAGCACTTGCCAAGATTCATGATATTTGGGGGAGGGAAGCTCAAAGAGAAAGATGTAAACACTTCAAAATTTTGTTTATTGTTGTCCTTCAACAATTTTGCAACAGTAAATGTGGACTAGTTCTCCAGTCCTGAGTTCTGTCATGCATTCTGCTTTCTGTTTCTTTGTGGAATTATGTTTCCATTTATCTGCAAAGAAAGCATTCATAAAAGTCATACCTATGTAGAACTTGTTCTTTTGTTCATAATTTACTTTCTTATGAGAAGAAGAGAATGATCCTGTAGTTGTTTTTGTCGAATGGTTTGCTATGTGTTTCCTGCAGATTATATTTTCTGTCTTGGAACACTCTGAAACTTGATTTCACTTACGGTTTTGTCACAGGCAAAGTTTCTGGTTTTCTGTTTTAACAGCTGGAAAAAAATAGTATGCTTATGTAAGATAATAAAGAGCGCAGGACTGAAGTGTTTCATAAATAAGAGAAAACGGATATTCTGTTACTGCATTCTGTCTTCGTACTTAACTGTATGTTCGTGAAGACTTTCCAAATGTTTACAGTTCCCTACCTGATGATCTCTTTTTGGGGGAAAAAAATTAATCCTTTCGACACAAATGCCATTGATTCATTAATTGCATACTTGTGTCTTACTTTTTTTAATGGATAAACTAGTCTAAAAATGCCTTCAAAGGAAAATAAGCTTAAAAGAAGCAACTGCTTTAAGATACTGATTTTCAGATTTTACAAGTTAAATGAGCTTTTACCTTCTGGAACAGCAAAGACAAGTTGACATGCTCCAAGTCTGTCTTCCTTAGAAGTTGGAATAAATAAATGTGTAAAGAAGCCAAAGTGAAATAGATCTTTTTTTGTATTGCAGAGTGCAATGTTTACATATTTCCTAAATGGGAGGGAAGGAGAGGAAGGCATAAGGATTGGATAGTTGGTACTTTTAAAAGCAATTGCAAATAGCAGAGTACACTTGGTAAATTTTTCTGTTTAAAAAAATATTTAGGGAAGCTAAACACACAAGAAACCCCTTAACGTGGTTGACTTTCACATCAGTGTAAAGAGAAGGGTGTCTGATTCCTGATGGAGACAGCACTGAGGAACTTGGATCTTCTCACCATAAGCTCTAAGGATCAGGTGTCCTTTAGTTGTCTGTCTGTTCAGTGATGATAGAGAGCTCTGAGGCCTGTTAAAGCAATATTTTTGTAGAAACCAGAAAACTGAAGCTTTCGTGAGCTTTCATAAGAAGAAAGGTAGCTCTTTTCAGTGTGCTTCCTGTGAGCGAGCTGCTCAGATCAGAGTAGTTTGCCCTGTGAGTGTTCCCTGCTTTCCTGGAAATTGTATGGAAACCCTGATGTGCCATTCCCCCGTGTCACTGGTATATCTCTTTGGCAGGAATCTTGACCTTCATTTTGGGCCAGACAGGTGGAGAATCTCTCTTCTGTTCCTGTATGGAGTCACTTTTTTTTTTAAGGAATAGTTCAAAGGAAGAGCATAGACAATTGACTGTAGAAAGGAGGAAACATTGGTATAGGCTTTAAATTCAAAGTTTTTAACAAAGTTGTACCTCACTGAGTGGCAGCCCTTGGTGTGGTGGTCAAGGGGCTTGGCTGCTCCCCTGGGTTTTATACAAAAATAAACAATTTTTTTTCTTTTAAAAATGTATTACCAGAGGAGGTTTAGATTGGATATTAGGAAAAGTTTCTTCACGGAAAGAG